AGGCAATTAGACAAGAAACACTGAATTTCCCAATATATCCTCTCACGCTTGTTGGGCTGGCTAGCTTTGTGGAAAATATGTGTGCTTAGCTTTTGCAATCTGCTTGGCTATCAAGTTGGGGATATTTATATTTATAGACTGATTTTAGCATAGTCCAGGCAGCTGGTCTTTAGAGAGTTCCTCTGTGCTAAGTTTAAGGAAGTTCCTTGAACCAAGAATGAAGGAATTTTCCCTTCACTTGTCAGCAAATGCTTTTTGTAAGGGTGAGTAGAGACTTCCAAACTTCATTTTGTTTTTTTGAGGTGTGGAGTCAATTAAAATTCTAGACCCTTCTCTCAGTAGAGTCACCACACACATCTCCTTTATTCAAATCTAATGGGTCTGGACCTGACACTTGGATTCAGATGCCAAAATAACAATGGCACTTGCCCCCTCCCTTGGCCAGCCTCAGGCTCTGCCACCAGGCTCAGTCTAGGACCAAGGCCACTCACTCCAGGGAAGCATGTGTTCAGAGACCCCTGCCCATGTTCCCTTCCCCCTCCCTGCAGCCTGATACCACCTCCTCCCCTCCTCCTATGAGCTGAGCCACATGAAGGGGTTGGTGCCCCCAACACTTCTGACTTGCATTGTAACTGGGGATAGGGCCTTGCCCAAAATCATGCATTCTCCACAGAGGCAATATTATGCCACAGAGAGTAATATCTTGTTCAAGAGCGCCCACTAACAATCTTAGCTATTCTGGTTGTTTCTGGCCCTCCAGAGGACCAGAGTACATGAACCAGTATACCTGCGTGAGAAGGAAGTCATGATCACATATGTAGAAAATGTGTGACATGATCACATATTTAGAAAATGCTAAAATGCTAAAGAATCTGTAGTATATATATGGTATTTAAATTTAATTACAGGGAGTTATGACTAGGAAAAAATGTTTAAAAAGGATAATTATGGAGACAATAATGGGAAAAAAAAAGATTTGAGAAGTAATCTAAAGAAAAAAGGTAGAATTAAAGCAAGTTTAAGTGCTGGGACCAGAAGGATGGGGGTGTGAGCTTTTCGGGGCCTAAATTTTGCATCTCACGAGACCACAGACCAGGAGAGTACAGGAAGGAGAGAGAAAACACTGGCTCCCCCAACACAGCAAAGCACCTGGTGGTGTGGGCCCCAGAGAGCTCCAGTCTAGACACTGGCTCCCTGTGGGGCAAATCCCACCTTGTATTCACCTTTAGCATGAGGAGGGGATGTAACCACACAGAGTTGCTGGGGTTACCTGTGCTAAATGAGAAAACACCTAGTGTCTAGTTCATCATTATTTTTAGTCGAGTTAGCTGGGAGCATTAGTCCCCTGCTTGCTCAGCAGGGGTGTCCAACCTGTGGCCCCTCAAGCCTCATGCGGCCCAGGATGGCTATGGATGCGGCTCAACACAAAAATCGTACATTTACTTAAAACCTTTTTTTTTGCTCATCAGTTTTTGTTAGTGTTTGTGTATTTAATGTGTGGCTCAAGGCAACTCTCCTTCTTCCAGTGTGGCCCAGAGACGCCAAAAGGTGAGACACCCCTGCTAGAGGCTGTCACTCCTGGATTTTTGCCCCTCCCCCTTCAGTGAGTTCAGGCAGAACCCCTGCTGGGCATTTCTAGAGGAGGATGCTGGGGAGGGGGGCGCTGCCCTTGGGGGCCATATTCCATATTAAAGGGTCTTTCTTAGAAACTCCTGTCCATCTGTCTACAGTTTCATGGACTTTTCAGTTGCTAAAATGACAAATACTTGTGGCCCCAGAAGTGACTCTAACTTTATTCCTAATTAAATTCCTAAATCCATTCCTAACCTTAATCACCAAATAGGACCCTAAATTTGATAAAACCCCAAACCCTAACTTTAGGACCCTCCTCAGCTCCTAACCCCACCCCATCCTTACTCCAATTCTAACCTGATCCCTCACCTTTGCTCTAACCTTCATCCATAATCCTCATCCTAATTCCAGTGGTAACCCAGGGTTTCCCAATATTAAGCCACTCACTCTCACAGTCACGAGTTTTGCTGTACCTGTGTTTCTTCTGAGCTTGAAGCTTACTTAATAGTTGTCCTTAAATTAGACCTTTAAAACATCTTACTGTAGAGTCATTCTGAGCAAGTATACCCCAGAAACGATTAACACCTGTTATCTCCCATACCGCCCGAAGTGTGCAAGGACTTCAAAGCCCACGCAGCCAGCAACCTCCACAGCCAGGCCAGGCGGGGCTGCTGCGCCCTCTGCTGGCGGAGTCTGGGAGCAGCTCTAGCTCAGCTCCGTTTTGTTCTGGACGGAGTCCACAGGGCACTCTCTGATTTGACATTTAGTGTCACTAGCTGTGGGGTTCCCTTAATTGTGAGTAAAGAAAGGTGAGAAAGGATCTCCTTGCTCTAGGCATAGGGTCTGGCACCTGGGGTGGGGGGTGGGGGGTGGAGACAAGCCTGAAGTCAGAGCAGCAGACAGGAGCAGGGCAGGGGCTGGGCCTGCTGGGAGGCTCAGGGTGCAGGATCAATTCTGAGATACGGAGTATTGCCAGAGTTGGGACCAGAGATCAGAGTGAATTTAGGGTAGGAATGAAAATGGGAGTGAGGCAGGCCAGGGCTGGATGAGGGGAGGGTGCAAGAAGGGAACACAGCAGGTCCAGGCACCAGGTAGCAGCTAGGTTGGGATTACAGCAATTAAAAAAAAAAAAAAGATTTTATTTATTTTTAGAGAGAGGGGAAGGGAGGGAGGAAGAGATAGAGAGAAAGATCAATGTGTGGTTGCCTCTCACATGTGCCATACTGGGGATGTGGCCTGCAACCCAGGCATCTGCCGTGACTGGGAATCAAACCGGCAACCCTTCACAGGCCAGCATTCAGTACACTGAGCCACACCAGCTAGGCCTTAAAGCAACTTTTTAAGTGACTTTCCTGGGGTGTGGTTGAGCCCTTGAGCCTGAGGAGGTGGTGCGGGAGCAAGGCTGGGCTGAGCTGAGCATGCCTGCCACAGGAAGTCTGCTTTCTGCGCCAGGACTGTGTGGCTGAGATTCCCCATCTGGGTGTATGGGGGACACAGAGCCAGATACTGTTTAACCACTTCAAAGTGGAACCCCCTGCTCTCCTTCCCAGCTCCCTCAGCCCAGACCCAGGACTCCCACAGTTATCTGTTTTGTGCCAGATCTTGTTCTTCATCCCCTTGAAGACAAGCCAATATACTTTTTGCTAAGATCTAATGTTTATTTTTTCTATAACTTATAAAGGAATAACATTGCCATCTTGGTTTTCTGTAAAATAAAATCTTGCATTTGTGTGGTTCTTCACATATTAAAGAGCTATTGGGTTGGCCAAAAAGGTCTTCTGTTTTTTTCTGTAAGATGACTCTAGTAGAGCTTATTTATCTTTAACTTCATTTGAAACAATTTTGTTAGATTGTATTGTGACAGCTGTCATATCAGCCTATATTTTTTTTTTTAAAACATGAAAATTGGTGAATTTTTGTGTAGCCATTTTAATATTGAAGATGGAAGAAAACACACATTTTTGGCATATTATGCTTTATTATTTCACAGAAGGTAAAAATGCAAAAAAAGATCTGTGCAGTGTATGGAGATTGAATTGACTGATTGAATGTGTCAAAAGTGGTTTGAGAGGTTCTGTGTTGGAGATTTCTCGCTAGACAATGCTCCATGGTTGGGTCGACCAGTTGAAGTTGACTGCAATCAAATCAAGACATTAGCTGACAACAGTCAATGTTATATCATGTGGAAGAGAGCCAATATACTAAAAATATCCAAATCAATCAAGTTATTGATGAAAATGAAAAATGTCTTTTATTTTATGGAATAAAACATATGGACTTTTTAACAAACCCAGTATTTTCCGAAACATTTTTCTCACTGATTCATGCAGCATCCTATGAGGTAAAAATAACTCTCCTCCCGTTTTATAGAGTCAGAGCCTGAGGCTGCTGTACTAGGCCAGTCACAGGTTACTTGAGGATTGAAAATCAGTGTTCCAACCTCTAGCCCAGCACTCATAGTTAGATGACGTGGATAATCCTGACAGAGGTCAAAGATGAAGCACAGGTGACATATTTGGACTTGCTCTTAAGATATTAAAAACTCCAGGGCTGGAATTTGGGCACCTGGGACAGGGAGCTGGGGTTAGGGGTGGTGGCAGCAACCAAATCCCATTACCTGGCTGGTCACGTAGGCCAGGGCAGAGCTACCACTTAGCCTGTGCCACAGGAATCCCTGCAGGTACTAATGTGAATTTCAATTGTGACATCTAAGACAGCAACACATTAGTCACACATTGCTAATATCTCAGGCCTCCCCTACCTGTCCAATTAAGGGTTTTACCACCTGTGGCTCTGGGGACACTGACAGGCTACAAGATTACCCAGCAGAGGGCAGAAGTTCCTGCAGAACTTGGTGTCTGGCTCCAGGCTCCCTCTAGGGGTAACCTTTGAAGCTGACACGTCATTCCCTTCCCACGTCTCCCCTTTGGAGATAATCCTGGGCAGGCCCACCCTCATTTCCTCACTTCCAGTGGGGCGCCAGGTGGTTTATATCTGTGAGGCCATCAGCAGTGAGCAATGAGGGGCTTTCTGCTTGGCTAAGTCCTGAAAGGTACATATGAAGAATAGCTCCCTAAGGCCTGGAAGCATCCCCTTCACTAGACTGCTCAGTGGCTCCCGGGCAGGTGACATCAGGCTTTGAAGATTCATGTCTTTATTAAAGGCTGTGAAAGTGGAGAGAGGGCAGAACGGTCTTTGTTATAAAAGCTTTGATGAACTACATCAGAAGGCAGGAGGCACTGTGGGGCTGGTCTGGGGCTGGGCTTGCGCTAGGGCCACTGGGTGCTGCTCTGCCTAGGCCAGGCTGCCTTGCAGCTGCCAAGACAATGCCCATCACAGCCAGGCTGGAGCCCCAGCCCCTCCTCCCCGTCAGCCTACTCCCACCAAGTTTCAGAGGCAGCACCTGCTTTAAACTGGAATCTGGTTTTAAATTCATTAGAGTTCACTGTTAAAGCCAGCGCTCCTACCGTAGTAGCAAGATCATCTGTCATCCCTTAGAGGGCATTCAGACCACCCACTGAATGGGGGCTGAGGTGCGGCACACAGACTTCACTCCTGTGACAGGTGAGCCCACAGAGGCTGGGGTTCTGGGCTGCATCCCAGTAGTAACAACCAATGAATAGGGATAGGAGGAAGGAGGGAACAGTGGTTCTGCTAGTCAGAAGGGACAGCTCTGACCAGCCAGCGTTCTGCTGCTCTGACCTCTAGTGCAACCACAGGTTGGGAACCTTAGCTTAAGTCTGGGGGCTAGGCTAGGGTTCAAGAATGAAACCACCTTGTCCACTGCCTCACAGGCCTTTTATCTATTCTTAAAATCCCAGAACGGCACAGTTGGATGGGACTCTGAGACCATCCTGGCCAACCAGTCGTTTTACAGATGGGGACAAGGGGGCTCAGGAAGGGGCCTTTTCCTAGGTCACACCCGATGCAGAGTTGGGGTCGGGCCAGGACTTGCTCTGCTGCCCTACATCGCTTGTTCTTCGAGCAGCAATCTACACAGCAGTGATTCTGGAACTCAGCAGCACCAACATCACCTGGACAACCTGCTAAACTAAACAGCTTGCTGGGGCCCACCCCCGAGCGCCAGACTCCGGAGGCATTGGATAGAGGTGTCAGGGAAGACCAAGGTATGAGTCCCTGCACTGCACAGAACAGCACTGGGCAAGAGGACATTCATGACAGGGCTGAGGTGGGCAGTGCAGACACAGCGGAGGGCCATGCAGAGAGGAGTCGGTGGCCTGAGGACCAAAGCGCACAGCCCTGACTAAGGGGAGGTGTTTGTGTGGCTGGAAGGAAGCAAGTGCGGAGGGCAGAGGGGGCAAGCTTGGCACAGCAGGTTCTGTCTCTGCACATATGAGGCCCTTCAGGGATGAAAATGGTCCAGAGGGAAGTGAACAGAGTCAGCCTCCAGGCAGGCAGAGGCTGGGAGAACCCAAGTTCTTAAGGGGCAGTTTGGTTCGAAAGGCACTTGGGTAGCTGTGGAGCGACTGGTGTTGCAGTGTCCATGGGAGCTGTCAGCAGATCCCCTGGGCAATGGCTGGGGTCAGGGAGGGACTGTGACATTCATAGAAGTGGCAAGCGAGGTGGCTGAGGCAAGATGGGGGCCACTTAGAGAGCCCAGAGGCTATGCCTAGTTTGCCTAGGACCTCCCTGGTTCTGGCTCCCATAAGGGAGGGGCCAAGGGCCTGGTGAGTTAACCCATTGGTGCACTGGGGATCTGGTGGCTTGGGGCTGGGTGGGGTCGGGGAGGGGCTGATTGGCCTTGGAACCTTCCCTGTGGGGTTTTTAGAGAAGGAAAATTTGGTCCTAAAGAAGGAGAACTATTCTAGACCAAGTGCCAGATGAATATTAGGGACCAGGATCTTGGAACGTTGTGATGGGCAAGGCCTGGCTCAGGGACACCATCCCTCTCTGTCCCCCAGAGATGCCAAGACAGTCACCCCCTCCTCTCAGCTCTGCTGGGAGGCCCTTTTGGCCAAGCTGTGGCTAGCGAGAGGGCTAGAGATGCCTTCTGCCCGTGCTAAGGCTGGCTCCTCCAGCAGGCCTTTGAAATAGGTGCTCAGAGCTTGCAGGTTGAGAGCAGGCTGGGCATGGGGTGATGAGGTGGCCTTCAGGTAGCGGCTGTACTTCTTCAAGCCCCCCTGTGGTTCTCGGCGGTGTGTGGTCAGCAGCTCCATGAAGCTCACATTGTGGAGGGCGAGGAGGCGGGCCTCGGCCCGGGACAGGACAGCTGCCTGCACCAGAGGCTGCAGGGATCCGAAACACTGCAGGTTGCTGAAGGAGTAGACATGCTGGGCTAGCTGGGGTCCCGGGGAGACCTCGAGGAGGCGGCACAGGTCGCGCATGGCCAGCACGGCGGCCAGAGCACTGTGTTCGCTCATGTTTCTTGCCAGATAGGTTTTGGCCAGACTCTTGAGTTTGAAGCTGCTGGCCTGGGGCACACGCTCTTGGATGAGGGGCAGGGTGGCCAGGAAGCCGGAGATGGTCTCCTGGAACTCGCACAGCTTGTTCATGTCCTCTAGGGCCTGGAAGAAGTTGGGGAGGCTAGGCCCCCACAGCTTATAGCAGGCCAGGATTGGGTGGCACATGGAGCCCAGGAAGCGGAGGAAGTGCTGTAGCCCCACCTCCAGGGAGACTGCCTTGGAGTAGATGCTGAAGGCCTCTGGCTGGATGAGCACACGGAACTTGCTCTCTTGGTTCACAGCTGCCAGCTGCCTAATCTTCTGGGCTAGGCAGGAAAGAAGGGTAGGATGAGGCCCCAGGGATACAGGGGGCCCTGGGTGGGATTGGGGGACCTCTAGGGCTGCCAACCCACCCTCCAGAGACTCCACCATGGGGCCTACTGCCAGGAACCAAACATCAGCCTCAAAACATTTGCAACTCTGCCCTTAGCTCCGTTGCGGACAGGGGAGGAGGTCTGCTGCCCTCATACACTCCTTGCTCACTGGCTGGGAGTCCAGCTCTCCACTTCCCTGTCACCTGCCTCCGGTTCACAAAACCGTTTAGATCCAGGTCCCTCCTATGTCTCTTCTGTCAGCCTCACCCACCTGCCCTCGAGACCCCTCACAGTTTCTATCTAGCCTTCCACTTCCTGCCCTTGGCCTCCAGTACAATTAATCACTTAGCTATTGCTAAGCCTCCCAGCCAGTTGGAGCCTGAGACAGACAGCACACCTGCCCAATATACTGTACTCGAGTGTGGCCTAGAGCTTTCTGTGAGATCTGCAAGTGAGTTTCCTGTCCTGTAGGAACACCTGCTGCTTCTGGCTGGCTAGGCGAGCCCCAGGCTGAGTCTGTGCCACAAGGCAGGGCCTGGGCAAACACTATGGGAGTTGAGGGGCTTCTGGAAGAAGGGGTCATATATCTCTGTGACTCTGACTCTGTTGGCCTCCCTCTGCAGCCGCCTGTGGATTGGGCCTTGTACTCAGAGGTATGCAGTCAGAGCCCAATGCCTGGCTCGAGCTGCTGGTCTCAAAGCAGTGACCTAATGCGAGCACTGGGTTTCTGTTCAGAGGCACTTTCCCAAGGCTCTCCGTGTAAGAGAAGTGCACATCAGCGGTGGACCCATGTGGGTGCTTGACTCACATTTTCAGGTGCTGGTCAAGGCAGCTGTCCTTATTCAGATGACCAAGTGGTACACCTGGGAGTCGCAGGGGAGGTGCAGTTTTCTTTCTCTTTCTCCCCCCCCGCCCTACCCCCCCCCCCCCACCTTCTGCCCTCCCAGCTGTGGTCACTGGCCAGAGCTTGGTGATCTCCTGGGCCTTGCAGATGGCTCTGCCTGCACTTATCTTGGGGACTTAGAGACCAAGCTAGAAAGGGGTGGGGATGGTCTTTAGGGAACCCACTTTCACTGTCAATCTTGAGGTCAAAGAAAACCAGGGGCCTGTCTTCTGACTGGATGTCTGTGAAGCTCTCCTCCAGGGCCCTGAGAGAGCTGGGGCTCTCCAGCTGCAGGTCACTGGACTCGCTGCTGCTGTCATCTGGCTCCCGGAAGGACTGAAACACAGAAAACCAACCGGTCAGGTGGCCGGAGGGCAAGAATGTGCTGGCATGTAGTCACGTGTGTGGGAACACAAGCAAATTGGTATGGCCTGAGTATCTGTATGCACACACCGAAGGGCATACTCTTAGGGAAGGCAGGTGTATGTACAGGTGAGTGCACGTGCACAAAAATGTGTGCATATGACAGGACATGGATGTACACGTGCACTTGTGCAGGCCATGTTTCAGACAGTGCACATGCACTAGTGAGGAGGGGTGAGGGGATGAGATCATGTGGGTAGGTGTGTGTGCAGCTGGGTATGCAAGGGGAGGTATGAATTTCTGAACCTGTGTTGGCACTAGTGTGTGTGAAAGCACAAACTTATGAGTGTGTGCCTGCAGGGGTGAGTAGTGCTGGGGGTGGGGACTTGGGGGAGAAGCCAGTGCCTTCATCTCTGAGCACACTCAGAAGACACGTGAACTGGGGACAGGAGGAAAGAGTCTCACCTCAAACGCCGCATTTTTCTCTGGAAGGGGCCAGAAGCCTGACTTTGGTTGTCTCCAAAGCCAGCCAAGGTCCCAGAGTCCTACACAAAGGGGAGGGGGAAGACTGCGCAGCCTCTAAGACCCACACTGAGGTGGACACACAGGACCTGGCATTGAGAGCAGCGGAGGGATAAAGCTCAGAGCCTGGAGGCTGTCGTGCAGCAACAGGAGCCGGCTGTTCAGGGAAGCCTGAGGCTCCTCCAGGCTGAATACCAAGGGCAGAAGTTTGAATGGCCTCTGCTGCCGGGGAAAGGCCCCAGCTCTCAAGGGTCTGGGGCTACAGAGGCAGATGTAGCCTCTCATAATAGAGTCAACTGCTCTTCTCTGCACAGCTGCCAAACCCAGATACTGTCTTTTGTGGCCTGCTCAGAGTCTCCTGTGAGTGCCATCTGTGAATATTAGCCAGAGACCAGGAGGGAGGGGCACAGCCAGCATCCCAGAGCTCGCTTGGGGCTCTGCTGGGTAGGACACAGTCCAGAGCAGGCCTCAGTTCTTCCTCTTACGGACTGCCTCTGGCTGGCTGATGGAGCTGGTCTCACTTAGGGCCATCTGAGGCCTCTGACTAATGTCACTGGACTGGGAGATAACTAGCCTGTTTTCCTAGGCCCTTCTATTCTCGAGGTGAAACATTTAATAAACAAATCTTCAGCCAACAGTTAAGTCATTACTAACCACAGATAAAATGTGCTGGATTTTCCTAGGAGTGGCTGATTTTTACTATGTTTGCATTTCATAGCCCTACCCCAGGTTCACCAACTTCCTCCCAGTCATTGATAGAAACATTCGCTAGAAATCCATCTAGAGCTGGTTTTACTCAGAGAAACCTGTGAGCTCCAGGACTTTAGACAGAAGGCCCTAATAAGAGACTTTGTTAAATGCCTTGCATTTCGGTACCGTTGAATTGGCCATGTGTCCAAGGCTGTTTGCATAACTGGCTCTGACTCTGTCTTGCTGTCCTGATCTCCTTTCCTCCCTTGGAAGGAGTCCTTTAGAACATCTTCCTTGAAGTTGATAGCTGGTGCCCCGGAGACTCCACCTTCTTCCCCCATGGGAGAACCCAGTGCCCCTCTCTCCAGCCTTCCAGAGCCTGTTCCATTTATAAGGCAGCGGCGCTCTCACAGTTGGGCTGGCGGAGAGCTGGCTCCCCTTGCCATGTCCTTGCCAGGACCTCAGCTCTCTCTCACCAATGGCTGAAGAGTCATTCACTTGGCTGAATCCTCTCTGCCATCCATGGATATGGCACACTGGGCTTTCTATTCTTCCTTCTTCTTTTTGTTCCAAACGTAAGTGCAAAAGCTGTTGCAGTGGCCCTGAGGGCTTCCATCTGCCTCCTTCTTTCTGCTGTGTCTCTTCAGGCCTTAGAGCCAGAATCTTCTTTTAGGATATCCTTTTCCACGTTAAGCTCCCTGGAGAGCGGCACAGCTGCATCTTTGGGCCAGCTCCCCATCTTTATACCAGGATCATTTATGATGGCCATTAGAACCTCATTATTAGAGCTTCCCATTGTCCTGGGGTCATTTTCCTTTATAGTCATGGAAATTCCTCTGTCCTGCACTTACTGAAGACTGTGGAGGCTCCCTTAATGAAAGGGCACCACCTCCTTTCTGCTGAGCTTCTCAGTGGAGGGAAGCTACATCTCCCAGCCCTGATTCCTCATCCTCCCAGGTTCCTCTTATCCTTGGGGACTTCCACAAAGTATGGCTTCTCTGCGGGGCTGGTGTCACAGAAACATTTTCCACTGACTCCCAACACCTGTACCTCAATTTCCTCACCCTGAAAAGTACTGGCGCATTAAAAAAAAAAAAAAAAAAAAAAAGACTTAAAAAAAGGTTAACCAAAGAGCAACCAGCACATAGAGGGTCGGGCGCAAAACACTTCTCTGCCCCTGCTCGCTAAGGGAAACGCTCCTGTTCCGCCCTCGCCCCTCCACAGCTCGACTTATTCCACGATCTGGATAATTGAATGTGTAGCGGAGCAGAAAGAGGGACAGGGCAAGAAACCGCAACCCAAGAAGCCAGGAAAGGGCCTTTCCTTGGAAAAAGCTGAGGTTTGCTTGGCTGGGAAAGGGACGGGGGCAGACATGACATGGGGACAGATGAGAGCCCCTGTGTAAGGACTGGAAAGTGAGTGGGGGGTGGGGGGAGAGACGCTTTTGAGGACCTAGGAAAGCTTAAAGCAAAAAAGGAATCTAAGAAGTGCTGCTGTGAGTTATGAGTTGGATCCCTTCGAAAGATGCAAGTAAATACTGGAATGTACTTTTAAAAATTATACTTGGCTAATGGACTGGGTTTCTCAAACTGAGCCACGAGGGGATCCACGATTTTTCTCAGGATACCTATGCAGTCTGGTTCATGAGCTGTATTTCACTTATTTTCATCACAGGTCAACCACGTTCCAACTCAACCCAGCAGGTCTGAGAGCTACACCAAAGGTCTAGGTAGGTTATCTGGGAAGATCCAGCTCTTCCCTTCCCGCTGGGTAGTTCCAGGAGGTGTGTGTCCCCTCCACTCAAGGCTGATGCACACGTATGGGCCCCATTTCTCTGACACACATGTGCAACTGAATCCCCCAGTTCTTTGATCAGTGTCAGGCAGGGCGGAGGCAGACTGTCCCAAATACTGATGTGGCCCATGGTTACTCAGTCAGAGAGGAGCCAAAAACCTCTGATATTCAGCATCTAGTCACCAGAAGATATGTACCTAGTACCTGACGTTATTGTCTATGAAGAGTCTCCAGCTCCTGAGGGGCTTTCTTAGCATCCGAGCTTAAGCAACAGCTGGGGTCAGTTGGGCCAGACACGCATCGCTGGTTTTTGCAGCTACAAAACCCCAGTTCCTGCTAAGTCAGGAAGGCCCCAGAGATATCGCACCTGTGTCTGTGACCGGGCCCACCCCGCAGTGCACCCGGGGCCCCACTGCCTGCCCACGGCCCCTGCTGCTGCCGCCCTCGGGGGACCCAGCTCCTGTCTTCCCAGCAAAGCAACTTTTTTCCTGACACACTCACCAGCATCACTGTCCCTCCCCTGGATCAGCCGCTCCCCACAGGCCTCCCTTCCACTTGTCACCACTGCCACTGTGACACACCCTCTCGCTAGGCCCCCTACTGCATCCACTTGGTCATCTTGCTGCCAGGCCCAGGGGCTGCTCATCTCCCGAAAGTGTGGTGAGCACACCTATTTTTTTTCTGCCTTGGGTCCTAACACACAGCCCACAGCAGAGGCACTGCCGAGCCCACGTGCGCACCGCCAGACCCAGCTCCGGCCCCTCCGCCCAACTACTGCCTCATTTGGCTGGGCTGGAGGTCTCCTTCAGAGTGCCCCGCTTGCTCACAGTGTCTCTCCCCGGCCCAGCAGGGCCGCCCCAGAACCCCCAGACTGTCTGCATTCCAGCAACCGACACACCTGCAGCCTGAGCAGGAGGCGGGGGTGCCTCCATGCCCTGGTGCACTAGGAAAACATGGCATGTTAGCAGGGTGGTCTTCTACAACTGTCACTGGAAGGTTGGAGAAAGGCCACAGAGAGGAGAGGACATGGCAACATAGGAGCCTAGAACACCAGGGAATGTCATCTTGCCCCCTCCCTCCAAGCTGCTTTGAATACTCTAAGAGCACCAGGGGGACTTGTTTTCTCCTAAATTTTTTCATAAAATTTGAGTCCTGTAGTTAACGGGTGTGTCTAAAGAATACCTACAAAGGCAGCTGTCCTCTGGCTCTCTCCACACCTGCAGACCTGGCCTCAAAGGTGAGCAGCGGTTTTAAATGTTTAATTCTTGCTGACCTTCAACGTGCTTCTCCCTCCTTCCTTGATTAACCTCCGGCACCACCCAGCTCTTTGCTGACAGCTGAAGATCAGACTGACACTCTCACCCACCACCCAAACACAGCTGTGTCAGTTCCTCTGCTTGACTATCAGGAAGTCTGGTGAGACCAGGGGTATCCAGTCCTTTTCCCTTTCCTTCCCAGGCCTCTACCTTCACCAGGCTCAATTTTAATTCTATCAAGGTTATGGGATAAAGAAACAAGCGTCCAGATTTCAGAGGAATTGAGAACATGGGCAGAAAGGGGAGGGCGGTCCTGGGCGGCTCCGAGGTCTCAGCTTGTGTAACTGGGCAGATGATGCAATTCACCAAACAGAGCAAGAGATGAGTCTGAGGTCTCCATGGAGCATTGGAATGCAGCTGTGGGAGGGCTGCTGGACTGTAAGTGAAGACACAGGCCTGGTTGAGATCCGGGAGTGTATGCAGCCCAAAAAAAAAGAGGGCCCAGAACCAACACTGGAACATGTACATTTAAGGAACAGAGACCTTAAGGAGAGGAACCCTCCTGAATGAAGGGGAAGCAGCCTCTTGAGAGGGTCCAGGGCTGGTCAAGGTACCAACTGAAGGTGACCATTGCACTTGGAGGCAGGGAGGGTTCACTGGCAGAGTGAGGGAGAGCCGGGAAGTGGGGGGAGCAAGGAGCACCCAAGGCTGGAAACACAGCGGGAGAGGAAAAGGTGGTTGTGAGATGGAAGACTCCCTTCAGCATGCTTAGATGTGGCTCGTAAGGAAGCGAAAGTATCTGAAGATGCAGGTGAGGTCCGGGAGATGGGGTGAGCTCCCAGGGAGGCAATGGTGCAGGGGCCTGGACAGAGGAGCCCCAGGGAGCGGATGTCCTTCCACCCTAACAGGATAAAGGGAGGAATGTGAGGGGATCAGGTCAATCTGTGATTGAATATTGGGCAGCAAGATTTCAAGGGCTCTTGTCACCTGACAAGTGGGGCTCTTGTCCCACTTCTTGCTAGGGCAGAGGGTGCGATCACTGTCAAGAGTGTGGGTGGGGATGAGGACCCAGAGCTCAGGCGGTGGGGGTGCAGTGAGCTGGGGTGGAAGCTGGGAGTGTACCTTAAGACTACCCTTTGTGGTTTTCCGCCCATTGATTTTCAACAGAACTGGCTCCAGGTGGCAGTACAGAGGCAAGCTACTGAATCCCTCCAGGGCTGCTGCTTTTTTTTTTTTTGGGGGGGGGGGGGGGGGCAGGCTGCTAAGGGGAGGCCAGGAGGCAGGGTGCTAAAATCCTGGTGAAAGATTGGCTGAAATGGTGGGCGGACCTTGCCAGCTGGAGGTAAAGGCAGGAGAAGGTGGGTGGGAGAGTGGAGGTCCTGGCCATTCTTGAGCGGACCAGTTTAGAGATGGACAGTTTCAGTGACAGTGAGGGCCGTAGGTAGCCTTGCGGTGAAGACCCTTAAGGGGTCAAGGAGAGGAGAGGCCAGGGTGGTGGATGCTTTAATCTCCCAGGAAGAAAGAAGAGGACCCTTAGCAGGTAGGTGCCAGTCTTCCCTAGGTGGGGAAAGTGGGAGGACGTCTGATATGAGCTGGGGAAAGTGGGGTTCACCTCAAAGGCACAGGAGGTCTCACCAGATGGTGGGACTGAAACAGCCCACAGGCACAGAGGGTTTTGGCCCCACGTCCTACCTCTGATGCTCCCAGACTGTGGGAGAAACAGGACATAGGAACCCCACAGGAGGACCAAGTTTCCGTGTAGGGAGGTACAAAAGCCACCTGCAGGGAAGAGCTAAGTCCAGCAGGGAATCTGCTGGTCACGGAGGAAGGGTTTGCAAGGGTGATGTTTCAACAAACATTTATTGAGCAGCCATTTGTGCCAGGTCCTGGGACCGACACAGTCCCTGCCTTCATGGGCTTAGATCACGGCAGAGGCCCAGTAGAAAAGCGTGGGGTAGGGGCTGGGTCAGTGGGAGGTACAAAGGGCAAGGGAAGCTTCCTCTTCTTGAGTAGGGGCCCAGGTACGTGAGGAGCAGTGGCCTGGATCTGCCATGCCCTCTTGACTGAAGAGGACTGGAGTCTTCCTGCCCAGAGTCAATGTGGTCATTCCTTCCTTGGTTTACTCCTTGACCAAGATGTACGAATGCCTAGAGAGTGTAGGGCCTTTAGGTATGTAGGTGTGTGGGCTGGGCTGGGCAGCAGGAGGGAGGGGCAGGTGGAAGCAGGGCATGGGTATCGGCCACAAGGTTACAAGATGGTGGCCAGAACCTGAGAGGAAGACGCTCCGGGCTCTCAGGGGCCTGTCTGAGGGGGGTCCAGGCTGGTGGAGGGCCTTTCTGGGGAGGAGAGTGGTGGGCATGCATTTGGAGGGGCTTTCGGTGTGACTTGGATTTGGGGATTCTCCACAGGGGTCCTGTCAGAATCCTGGGGGGAAATTCCTGCCCCAGGAGTCTGGGGTGACCAGCCTTCTGACCTGCCCCGCCTGAGAGAGGTATCAAGCTGGGGAACCACAGAGGAGAGAAGAGCAAATTTGCTGAGGCACCGAACTATATGGGGGGCCCCCCGGAGGGAGTGGCCGAGAGACCGCCCTGCCCTTCTTGCCAGTCGGGGTTGGCCAGTGGCCCTTTGGAAGCAAGGGAGACACTCCTGGGGATTGGCAGGATGGTTGGGAGGCTCTGTGATGGCAAGGGTGGTGGCCTGGACCATGGGAGAAGGACAAGTCCATGTGGGAGCACAGTGCACTCTGGGTGGCAAGTGGAAGATGTGGTGAAGGCGGGTGGCTCTTTGTGTTCTCCGAGACAGGCAGCTGATCCCACGGTGGATGGTAGCATGCTCCTGGTGCCCGGCTGGCTGGCTGGGAAACTTGGCATCGGGAATGGCAGCTTGCTTGGCGGGGTTGTGGAGAGGCCAAGCCAGGCGGCTGCGTATGCCTCGGGATAGACGGGAGGCCCGGCAGGTGTGGGGTGCTCCTGGTGCTCTCAGCAGGGGTTGGGCTGGCAGGGAGTATGGCGCTGTGGTCTCCATAGGCTCCACGCACTTTCCAATACAGAACCTCAGACTGAGGGCTGGAAGCAACTCACGGGCCACCCCGTCCAACCTTTCACTCTGTTCAGGTCCCTTTTGCCCTTGGACAGCCTCCATTAACAAACCTCAGGGACAGAGGAGTCATAACCCACAAGCCAGTATTCCATTATACAAGTTCTTTCTCACCAGGAGTGAAACTTGCTTGTGTGGGCCCTGTGTGGCGCTGCTCCACGCCCTCACACCCGCGCTGGCCCTAGCTGGTGTCTACTCCCCTTGTTGAGGACTTAAGAGGACAGAAATGCTTAAGGAAGCTCCCCACAAAGGCAACTGCTCGTCCAGAAAATAGACAGAGCTCTGGAAGGAAGCGCTCTCTCAGCATTTCAAAAGAGAATATGCAGTTACTGAAGGCCCCTCACCTGGAGGGAGGGTTGGAGCAGTCCTGGCCCACAGCTGGCATTTGGAGACTGTCCTCAGGACAGCTCAGGACTTACTGCCTTGCTAGAAAATACCCCAGGTGCAGGGCAGGTCTGAGAGTCACCCGCTGTGACTATCCCCTGGGACCTGGAATAGGGGGAGGCATGAGTCCCGGGCCAAACTGTTGGACTACTCACCGAGTTTTCGTCCTCTGAGTCTCCTGAGCTGATCACCACAATGCGCTCCTCTGAAACGAGGTGGGGGAGGCAGTGTCAGGCCCAGCTGGGAATGCCCACTCCTCCCACAACCCGTGCTCCCATAAAAACCCTTGCATTCCAGTGGCCTGGGTGGGTGTTGTGTGGCCTGCAAGAGGGGACGTCAACATTCACCATGTGCGCCTGCGTGGATTATTTATTCACGGTGGCTTTCCATGGCTGCCTGCGGTGCCTTCTGTGAATACTTAATTCAGCTGCTGGGCCTGAGTGCAGAGTCCACTCCAGGCAGAGCTGCCTGACAAGCACCAGCTGGTGAGGAACCTTGTGCAACGCTAAAGCAGTACACTGGTGTATTTCAATTCTCAGACCTGCGGGCTAAGATGTTCAAGTTAAAAGATACCCTATTATCTAGTTAAAGCCTTTTGATTTACCAATGGCCTTTGTGAGCAAGGACTATCAGTTAGGCTTGGCGTGTGAGCAGGGTCAGGGCTCAGGCTGGAACCTAGGATGAGAACAAACCCGGACTGTCATGAACATTGCAGAATTCTACGGGTTGATCTCAAGTCATGCCCAAGGACTCCCTATCTGGCAGTGTCCATAAAAGATGTCCAGGACAAATGAGGTGACTTGGCGGTGGCCTTTGCAGAAAAATGTGGGAACTAATGTGTGTGGATTTTACTCAAGTCCCTCTTAGTGGGAGTATACTAGGCAGACATTCCCTGGGGAGACCCACGCTGTGCAGAGGCATGGTGCTGCGTTCCCTAAGAGTGTGCTGGGGGGAGGCGCTAAGGAATGGTGGGCTTCAGCCCCTCATGCTCCCCACACTGGAATTCTAGCAAAGCATCTACTCTCACCCCCCAAACTGTGGGCTTTCCTTGCCCCATCTGGTGGCAGCTGAAGGCAGGACACAAGGAATGCTGTTGGCTTTGGGGTCCCTGCGTGGGGTCAGAATGCAGAAGAGGAGCCCCACCCAGCCCCTGGAAGACAACATGGAGGCCTCAGCCTCTGTTGCCCCCAACCTCCCTACCTGCCTCCCCAGAGTCGCCAGTCTTGTGGTTGCTGTTGAGCAGTAATTCCTCATTTGCTGTGGAGTGGCTCTCGGGGATGGGGGTCCCCTCTAGGGCAGGTGGTGAGAGTGCCTTGGAGGTGCTGGGCCTGGGCTGCTCAGGGGAGCTCCGGGCCAACCTGGCCTCCTTCTCGTCCTCAGACTCCATCTTGATAACCTTCCTGGGGCAGTCGGTCTGGCAGGACTTCCTCTTCTGTGCTGTGGCTGTGGTGGAGACCTCCTATGCACAGAGGAGTCACAGTGCCAGGTCAGGAGCCTCCAAGGGCCCTGCGGTGGTAGGCAGAGACCCGGAACTGGGTGGCAGGGGCCCGTGGCCAGCCCCACTGCTCTCCGCCATGCAGAACCTGCCTCTCCCCACACAGAAAGCCCTCCCAGGTCGCCATGCACACCGGCCCTGCCTGCTGCTAACCATTGGCCCCTGCAGGCCTCTGCCTCCCCTGCGATGCGCTCCTATGCTTAGAGTAGAGGGGAACTCGCTGACAGAGCAGCCAAGGGCAAGGGACGGCATAGAGCAGGCACCGATTTAGATCTGCATTCTCATCCAGCTCCACCTCTTACTGCCTGGTAGAATCTGGGCTCTCAGGACGGGAGGCAGGGACTGGGGAGAACTTACCTGCCTGCAGGAGGGATCTTTGATGGAGTAGGCGTACATTGGCACGGGGTGTGCCCCAGGCACCGACTGTACCACGGCCACAGGCTGAGCATCAACCAGCCCCGGGGCCTGTGCCTGAGCCATCTGTGGCCCCTCGGGCTGCAAAGTCAGGAAAGGAGAATCAGAAATGACTAGACAGCAGGATAAGGGGCTACGAACCCAGGCCTGGGGTCAGCCCAATCCCCAGAGCTTCACCCAGCCACAGGTACAAGCTGCTGGGTCCACCGCTCAGAGCCCCTAGGGACAAGGAGCCCTCCCCCAACCCTGATGGCTGCACGTGATGACCCTGAGGTACTGGCATCCAGGAATCACTGTCCAACAACTCCTCAAGGTTTGCTTGACATCTGGCCTGCACAGCTCCAGGGACAAGTGCTCACTACTGTCGGGACCAGCTCCTCCACAGCGGTAAGGCTGTAACAGGAAGGACACCCTTACAGCTGGCCTCCCTGTGGCCTTCACTCTGCCTGGGTCATAATGGCCATTTCATACCTTAGACAAATCACGTAAAACTCCTGGGGCCTCTCAGTCCCTCTCTCTCTGTGAGTGGAAATAATCACGATAACGAACTCCCAGGGCAGTGTGGACGAAGTACGGTGCTAAGTAAAATGCTAGGAAGGGCACCTGGCACTTAAGTCCCTGATGGTGATGGCAGGGTCCTTATCACTGCTCTGCGCCAGGCACAGTGCCGAGGGCTTCATGTGCCCAGCCCAAAACAAAGCAGAAACAGTTCCTGAAGAAGTTAGAGGATTTTCATAGGATTCAACAATTCTACGCCTAAGTATGTGCCCAAAGGAACGGAAAACAGATGTTCAAACCAAAATTTGCACATGAATTTTCACAGCAGCACTATTCACAAGAGCCAAAATATGTCTAGCAACAGAATGTGGTGAACCCATACAAGGGAGTATTATTCAGCTATAAAAAGGATTGATGTTCTGATACGCACACACGAATGAACCTTGAAAACATTATGCTGAGTGAAAACAAGTTGGCCATGCCCTGTCCGGCTGGCTCAGTTGGCTGGAGTGTCACCCTTACACCAAGGGGTTGTGGGTTTGATTCCCAGTCAGGGGCACATGCAGGGAGGCGGCTGATCAATGTTTCTTTCACATCGATATTTCTCTCCCCACCCCCGCTTTCTCTCTCTCTCAAATCAATAAACATATCCTTGGGTGCGGATTAAAAAAAAAAAGCAAAGCAAACTAAAACAACAGCAGAAAAAGCCAGTCACAGAAAGATGCATATCGTATATTTCCACTTACCTGAGATAATCCAGAATAGTTAAATGCAGAGACAGAAAGCAGTGTGGGGGTTGCTGGGGGTAGGGGCCGGCACAGTGGCAAGTGAATGCTTTGTGGATTCAGGGTTTCCTTTTGGGATAATGGCAATATTCCAAACTAGAGAAGTGGGATGGCTGTACATGATTGTGAGCGTACTAAATGTCACTGACTTCCACACTTTAAAATGGTTAAAATAGTGAGTTTTCTTACATGAACTTTACCAAAATAAAAAGAAATTGTAATAAGAAAAAGAAAAGAAAAAGTACCATACTGATTATCACCAATCTACAGAAAAGGAAACTGAAGCACCAGAGAGGCAAAGTGGTGTCCTAAGGTCACATACCTAACAAGGGCCTGGACTAGGGTTTGAGAGCAGTGCCCTGAAATGGAAGGTCCCTTCCTGTGCCTACACAGCTCACTTTTCTTCAGTCACTGCCTCGCTTTTGTCCCTCCCTGCCATCCTTCCCTATTGTGTGAAACTGAACAGCCTGCTGGACCACTTGCTGAAAATGAGTAATACGGGAAGTGCTTCTTCAAAAAGGGAGGCCCAGACTCCTGCTCCTAATCTGACCCTTTGGCGCCTCAAATTCCAGTGGATGATTACTCAGGAGCCTGCAGTCTGTCCACACAACGAAGAAAAGGCATCCCAACACAGAGGAGGGGCCCTTCATCAGGTAGAACTGCTCTGGAAAAGCCAGGTGACCAACTGTGAGATTATGAGGCCAGGGATCCACTTTCCTTATTGGGACATCTGTGCCTCCTGTGCGGAGAAAGACATGGTCAAGCGGGACCACGTCTTTCTCAGAGGGGACACCAGAGATGACCTGGCCAGGCCTGGGCTGGGGTAAGCAGGGAAGGCCCAGCACAACAGGGCCATGTGCGGGGTACCGGACCCAAGCCAGGCAGGGCTCTTCCTGATTTCAGTGCTCCGGTGTGGGCTGTGGGCTCTTCCACAGTCTGCTATAATGGACTGACTTCCTTCTTTCCACCCATATTCCCAGGTTTCTTTTGATCAACATCTTTACAAAAAGGAAGAATTGTCTTGGGATCAGAGAATGAAGCCTGTCGGGGGAAAGGGGAGAGAATGAAACATCTCTGACTCCAGGGAAGTACAGTCTCCACTGAGTGCTATATGCCAGTGTTTTTCAAAATGTATGCACTGTGACGCATTAGATCATAAAGGCAATCAAGTGGGTCATGACCTACATTTTTTATATTACACAGAACAGAAAATATTAGTGTAATCCCACGTAATAAGTATAATTTATTTTGCAAAACTATTTTAGCTAGATGCATGTGTATGTGTCTATAGAGCACAGGCTTGATGTGAAATACAATTTTTTACAATGAGTTGTGATCAAAAAAGTTTAAACTACCTATTTTAAAAAATATTATGGGAGGATTTCCGGCCACTATGCAGGCATAGGTAGATACACCTTGCCTCCTCGAACAACCAAAAGAAGGACAACAACAAATTTAAAAACAAAAATAACCAAAACTGTCAGAAAATTGAACTGTATGGCAAGTCCAACAACCAAAGAGTTAAAGAAAAAACATTCACCCAGATGGGTAGGAGGGGCAGAGATGGGCAGCAGGGGGCAGAGAGGATGCATGGCAAGGCAGCAGCTGGCAGACTGGGTGGTCTCACATTTGCATGCAGATAAACCAGGAGAACAGCTAGGGAGCGAGACAGACTGAGCAACTCAGGGTTCCGGGGCAGGAAAAGAAAGCCTCAAAACCTCTGGCTGTAAAAACCCGTGGGGGATGTGGCAGTGGGAGAAACTTCCAGCCTCACAGGAGTTCGTTGGAGGGACCCACGGCATCCTAGAACGTACACAAACCCACCCACCTGGGAATCAGCACCGGAAGGGCCCAATTTGCTTGTGGGTAGTGGGGGAAGTGACTGAAAGTCTGCTGAGAGCTGAGTAAGCAGCACTGTTCTCTCTCCGACCCCTCCCCAAAATACAGCATCACAACGCAAGGACCTGGTTTCCCTGCCCTGGCAAATACCTAAGGCCCTTCCAGGGTAACAGGCGCAAGACAAAGAAATATGGCCCAAATGAAAGAACAGATCAAAGCTTCAAAAACTGAACTAAGTGATGAAGAGATAGCCAACCTATCAGATGCACAGTTCAAAACACAGGTAATCAGCATGGTCACACAAATGGCTGAGTATGGTCCCAAAGTAGAAGACTATGCAAAGTGAAATAAAGAAAAATATACAGGGAACCAACAGTATCAGGAAGGAAACCAGGACTCAAATCAACAATCTGGAGCAGAAGGAAGAGATAAACATTTAACTAGAACAGAATGAAGAAACAAGAATTATAAAAAAAATGAGGAGAGGCTTAGGAACCTCTGGGACAACTTTAAATGATTCAACATCCGAATCATAAGGGTGCCAGAAGGAGAAGAGGAAGAGCAAGAAATTGAAAACTTATTTGAAAAACCAATGGAGGAGGAATTCCCCAATCTGGTGAAGGAAATAAACTTCCAGTAAGTCCAGGAAGCTCAGGGAGTCCCAAAGAAGTTGGACCCAAGGAAGCACACACCACGGCACATCAGAGTTGCATTACCCAAGATAAAAGACGAGGAGAGAATCTTAAAAGCAGCAAGAGAAAAGGAGACAGTTACCTACAAAGGGGCTCCCCATAAGACTATCAGCTGATTTCTCAAAAGAAACCTTGCAGGCAAGAAGGGGCTGTCAAGTTTTCAAAGTCATGAAAAGCAAGGACCTACATCCAAGATGACTCTATCCAGCAAAGCTCTCATTTAAAATGGAAGGGCAGATAAAGTACTTCCCAGATAAGGTCAAGTGAAAGGCGTTCATCATCACCAAGCCCTCATTATATGAAATGTTAAAGGGATTTATCTAAGAAAAAGAAGATCAAAATCTATGAACAATAAAATGACAACAAACTCACAACTGTCAACAACTGAACCTAAAACAAAAACAAAGGCAAAAACAAACTAAGCAAACAACTAGAACAGGAACAGAATCACAGAAATGGAGATCAGAGGGGAGGTGGAGAGATGAGAATGGGGGAAAAGGTACAGGGAATAAGAAGCATAAATAGTAGGTACAAAATAGACGGGGGGCGGTTGAAAATAGTATAGGAAATGGAGAAGCCAGAGAACTTATATGTACAACCCATGGACATGAACTACGAGGCGGGAAGTGCTGCAGGGAGGGGGGTGCAGGGGAATAAAGGGGAGAAAAAGAATGGGACAAGTGTAATAGCATAATCAATAAAATATATATATTTAAAATTAAAAAAATTATGGGAGAGAACATGGAAAAAATTGGAAACCCTGTGCACTGTTGGTGAGCATGCAGACTGGTACAGCCACTATGGAAAATTGGAGGGCAGTTCCTCAGCAAATTAAAAATAGAATTACCATACAATCCAGCAATTCCACTTATAGATAAATTTTATGCTATGTGTATGTTATCACCATTAAAAAATTTTTGAAGCTGAAAATATCCTGCTCTATTCTTTCATGTCTGGCTCTACAGGCTGCTGGTACATGAAAGACCTTTACCCATGGGTCATGAACTCCCCAAAGACAGGGTTCATTTCCTCTGCTTCTCTGCCCTTCCTGACACCCACCCCCAATGTTAATGGAGTAGGAGACATATGAAGGCTCAGTAAAGGAAAAAAAAAATACCGTGGTTACTGATTTATAGTTGTTTTAGTTTTAAAATGTTTTATTTATTTTTTTCATTAAAGTACTGTAACATTCTATGAAAACAAGGAGGGGGGGAAATTTCCAAGCTGCCTCCACACCTGCCTCAGTCCCAATGAAGCCTGTGGGCATGTTTTGTCATCTCCGCTTAGGTGCACAGTTGTAATGAAAGTTAGCCAACAGTTTCCAGAAGGATGTGTTGGTTCCAGAAGCCCAGCTCCTGTCTTCTGAGGCAGGGACATGGGTCCAGGAGTTGCCTTCCTCCTGGTTGATGGACTTGCTTCTCCAGGGACAGCCGGACCATGCCTGCTCACTCAAGCTGCCATATTCTGTCCTTTGCATTCACAGTGTTACCCACTTCCTTTCCCCCAGCTCCACTGCCTGCCCACCCGGCTTCCCTCCAGTCTATCACTTAAAGACCACAACAGGCTCGGCAAAAAGAGCATTCTTTTGGTATTCCAAGTTCAAACTACTTAGTAGCGGGTAGTGAGAGGTCACCTCAAGATAAAGACCCAGCAAAAGACCTAGACCTTACATGGACAGTATGGGCTCTCTTGCTGTTTATCAACCAACAACGGACACCTGGGAGACAGCTGCGCACTGTGGGCCCAGGTCACTTTCTGTTATTATTCACATGTCTTTTTTGGGGCCATTTTTCATTCTGGTACTGTATGTAATACAAAACAACCTAAATATGCATCAACTGAGCATTGGCTAAATAAAGCATGCTTTAATCACTCAATGGACCACTGCACAGATGCAAAAAGGCACCAGGAAGGAGGATTTCATTGGGTGAAAAAGCCAATATTATGAATACATGGTACTATGTTCTACCTAAGTGGAAAAAAAAAAAGGAGAAAGCAAATACCTATCATTGTAATTACATAATGAAACTCTGGAAGGATATGTAATAAGTTAATAAAGATAGGTATGTAGGCATAAGAACTAACAGATGAGGGGCAAAAGTGGGAGTGAGATTTATTTCTGACCATATGATTATATTACCTATCCAAAAATTAAAATGTCATTTTTAACTTTTGAAGCTATGTATATGGGGATGTAATACCCAAGGCAGGAGTTAGTTTCTAGTCCCGTCCCTAGCTTACCATGTGGCCTCAGGTGAAGGCCACGCCCTCTCTCTGGGCCTTAGCTTCATCCTCTGTAAAAGAGATTAGATTCCATGCTCTCTCCCAGCTCTAAAACTCTCAGATCCAGAGTCCTATCTCCTCCAGGAAGCTTCTTCTGATTTCTCAGCCTTCAGCAATCTCCCTCTCCTAGGGGCTATGCTATAGCAAAGATAGGAAGGCTTGCCGCCCTGACCACCCGTATCAGAAGACCTGCTTCCCATGAATGTCTGATCAGCTCTGGGCCCAGATCCTGGACAGGCAGACACATGCAAACCTGGATGAGCAGGATGGGAAGGAGACCAGAACCCTGGTTGCAGAAAGAACTGAAGAAACTGACCCTGATGGAGAGTGCCATGCATGCAAGCTCCCACACAGGCCAAGTCAAAGGGGTGCCATTACATTTCTACCCAGGGAAACACTCTAAGTCACAATGATCCAGAGGTGGGAGTGACTGCCTTCAAGAATGAGCGAGCTTCTTGTTCTTGGAGGTATGTGCATGAAAGCTGAATCGCAATAGGTCAGGGGCACTGCAGAGGGAATGCCAATATTAGAGGGGGTAAGGGCACCTTCCAACCCTGAGAAACTATGGTACTTGGATATATGCTGGCGCTGAAATCACACCAATAGAACCCAGGCTTCTGGGTGGAGGTTTGACTCCTGGCCCCATTCTCCATTCCTCTCTAGGAACAATGTGTGAGGGAAGAGGAGGGGAAGGTCCACATGTTGACCCCAGGAAAAGTCTCAAATATCTGGGGTGGGGTGCAAGAAAGGGTGAGGTCATCAGGAGTGCCTATCAGTGACCACCTCCTTCACCTCCTGTCCATCCCTGAGTCTAACTGCTCCTGAATCCATCAAGAGCTCATGTCCCATAGAGAGCTACTGTGACATTTAGGAACAGAGCAGGCCAGCCCCTCCTTTTCTCCCTCCCACTGAAAGCTCCAGTCCAGCCACTTGCTGTCCATTTCTCAGGCACTGCCTCTACTCTATTGCCTGCAGACACAGGGACAGCAAGACTTGGTTTCCTTTCTGACACAGGGAAACTCCCAACCTGCCTGACCTGCTGGACTGTACCACCTCCCCATCAGCCCTCAAACCCATCTCACCAGGTTAACGTCAAAAGGCTCCCTGGGAGTGCTGGTAGCCTCTGGGCTGGCTCTCCTGGGTACAGCTGCATCTGGAGAACACAGAGAGGGTCATAAGCAGGTCAGGGACATCCCTGGTGAGAGGTACTTTGGCCTGGGACAGTGACTGAGGGAAAGAGGGAATGTCCCTCTTGCTTTTCCGAGAGACCCTTTCTCCACGGCCTCTCCCAGCACTGGAGCAGCTCCATGGAGGGGCTGGCAGTTGGAAGGGAAGTTCACTGATGGCAGTGGGCATGAACCCAACCCGAAGGGAGAAAGCGGTGGCATTAGCGAACACTTGCCTTTGGTCCCTAGCAACAAGGGCACCTCCCTCCATCTCTGGGCCAACACCAAAGCAAAGGGTGAACAATGGTAAAGGTGTATTATTGCTCACTGACTTCTCTGCATACAGTGAGAGCTCCATGACCCATAGCCTAGTTTTTATTAAGTCTAATATAACTCTCTCATGCTTTAGATTAAAATATGTGACTTTCTTTGCCATTGTCCAGTTCGAACACCCAAGGTAAGCTGTTTAAAAGTCTGTGGGGTCATTTCCTGTACGTGGGGTAACAGTCACTGTCTAGGTGCAGGAGGGAAAGTCCATGTCCACTCTAGGACTATACTTTTATGAACCCATGTCCATCAGCTCCAAGGGCAGCAGGGAGTGAGCCCTTGATCACTGGCACCTGCCCTGGGGCTTTCCGAATCTTAGCGTCCCTCCCCGTTTTCACACCAGCTGGCCAGAGCTTAGATTCCAGCCTACAGATTTCATAAAAAAACCATTAAAGCCTCCTTACCCTAGAGGTCCTCTTGTGCACCCCCACCCCTTGAAAGTCTCTTGTAAGTTGTCCTGGCGTTTCCAGGTCTGTGGAGCTATTATAACTCATGAATTTGGACTGCAGAGCCAAGCACTGTCTCTTTCTCCAGTTATGTGATATGCCCGCATTTAGCCTTCCAGTTGGACTGGATAACTTAAGGTGAGGAACTGGAGGGCTGTTTCCCACTTCCCCAGTGCTCAATACCAGGCAAGGGCCCACGGAGCGTTCAGTCGGTTCAGATGGCGGGCCATTCTGGGGGCAAATGATCTTTTTCACTGAGCCATAGTGTACTTCTGGGGAAGCACTAGACACCCCAGGGGGTTTTGTCAGCCCCTTTCTGTCTGAACTTCATTTTCTAGTTCACTTTTCTGCTGCTAAACATAGGTGGCTTACGAGAACTTCCTGGAGTGGCTGGTTCCCCTGGGGATAAACTGTTATCTGTCTAGTGTTCAGCTTTGTAGTTCCTTAACTTCCCTAAGGGTCACAAGATCACAGCTATCCACAGGGTCTTGTAAATTATTAGGTTGGCCAAACAGTATGTTGAGTTTTTTCCATAAGACACATTTTTCCACTTTCAATAATAACTTTATTGATTTGGATATTTTGAGTATGTCGCTATCTCCCACTACTGGCTTCTAGTGGGGAGAGGCCAGCGGTGCTGCGAAATGTCTTCCAATGCATAGGACAGCCCACAGCAAAGAACTATTTAGCCAAAATGTCTATAATACCAAGAAACTTCACAAATCGTTTCTGACAGGTTTGATGAGTCACGGCACCTTCTCCATACACTGCACAAATCTTTCTTTGTGTTTCAGTTGTTTTTACTTTTTGTGAAATAATAAAGCATAATATGCCTAAAATGTTATGTATTTTCTCCCATCTTCAATATTAAAATGGCTGCACAAAGATTCACCAGTTTTGATAAGCTTTTTAAAAAATGCACGCTGATAAGACAACTGTCACGATACAATCTTAACAAAATCGTCTTGAATGATGTTAAAGACAACTAAGTGCTACTAGAGCCATCACACAAGGGAAAAGAAATCAACGTTTTGGCCAACCCAAAAGTAAAACACGACCCCTCTGGGTGGCTGCAGCCCCATGTCAGGGTCTCTTTTCCCCCTTATCCTGCGTATACTGGAACCTACAATGTGATCACACCCAAGAGACAATTTTTAAAACCCAGTTTTCTTTTCTGTCACAAGGAAATGATATTTTCTCCCCCGCCTTCGTCAGAGAGCTGCAGCAAGGCACAGCTCGTAACCGGTAAGCAGGCCAGCCAGGAGGGTTGCTCCGGTGCTTACCTGTCCCCTGGGTGATGCATGACACAAGGTCCTGCAGGCGCACCTTCAATTCGTCGAAGGTGTCAGTGCGTACGGCAGCTTTCAGGCTCTGGGGCTCCTCCTGGTGCAGCGCGTGGAGGGCCTTGCGAAGAAAGCCATGCATATCCAGCATCTCTTGGTCCGAGGCGTAGCGCTTCATCCTCTGCACGAGCACGCTGCCTGTGCGGATGCGCTGCAGTACAGCGTCCAGATGGCCTAGCTGGCCCGCAATCTTCTCATACTCGTGCTGGTACCGCATGTTCACCGCCTCCAGCAGCTCGCTCTCCTGCGCCAGCACGTGTGCTACCAGCTGGCGCACCCGCGTGCGGATCGCCTCCTCGGTGTCAGCGCGCACACTGCCCAGCCGGCTGATGGCTGAACGCATTTGCGCCTGCGCCGAGCCGAAGGTGTCATCCTGCGCCTGCAGGGCCTGCGTCATGGCGTCCAGCTCTTCCTGCCTCTGCTGGATCTCGACAGCGATGTCGCACTTGAGCTCGGTGTGGCCGGTATCCAGAAGGGCACAGGAGCAGCACAGTGGCTTGGAGCAGCCTCGGCAGTAGAGGCTGCGGACATACAAGGCAGGTCTGATTTAGGGCTCTCCTGCCTTTTCTCCTTTACGTTTTTATTAAAATCCTCTTAAAAAATTATACAACTTTAAATCACGTTATAAGTCCAGGTTTGTGCTTTCCCCAGTTCAGTGTTTGTGGCTATGGTGATAGCACCCAAACTACCTAAAATCATTAGAATATAAAAAGGTTTCTAAAGAAACAATGCAAAGATTTATTTTTAAAAAATCCGTCATCTTTTCCCGACACTTCTGAATTTCCTTTCTCCGCATCTGAAGTAACCCGGTGACCGTCTTCCTTCCACACCTCTCTCCGCTCCAATCCCCTACACAAACATCCAGACTAGGCAGTTGCTTAAAGGATTTGAAGGACTTGATACAAAGCCCACTGCATCCTCGCTAGAGCCCGTTAGGGGAGAATGGCTGTTATCTTCGTTTCACAGATGAAGAAACTGAGACTTTCAAAGGTTTAAAAATTGGCTCAAATAAGTACAGCAATTTTGGGGGGTTGATGCTTGTATTTTAAAAAATGAGATCATGCTATACTATTACTTTGTAACCCTCCTCTAAATTAAACTTTCATTCAGGATATTGTCATATGTCTTTTAAGTATAGATCTAATGTATTTCCTTTAATAGTTCATTATATTCCAGATGGATCACAACTGGTTGAGTCCTCCTATTAATAGACATTACGGTGATTTCCTGTTTATGCATTTTTTTCTTTTTTTCCCTCTCTTTCTTTTTTGGCCAATATGGACAATGCTTTATATAGCCAAATGCATGGATGCTTTTCCTTCTATGAAATGGATTACAAAAAATAAAGTATTGTCAGATCAAAGAATGTGTATCTTTCTATTAGATTTCAGCTGGCAGACAATTCCATAGCATTTACTATATGTCAGACACTATCATAAACATGACAAATATTAACTCATTTAATCCTCCTAAAATCCTATGGGGCAGGAACTCTTATGCCCATTTTAAGGATGGGGAAGCTGAGCAAGAGGTAAAACAACTTGTCCAAGGTCACACAATTAGTATGTGGTAAGAGTCTAGATGCAAACTGTAGTATGCAGAATAATGGCCCCTATCCATGAACTAATTTCTAGAACCTGTGAATATGTTAGCTTATGTGGCATAAAGGCCTTTATAGGAGTGATTACATTAAGGATCATGAGATGGGGAGATCATCCTGGATTATCTGGATGGACCCAGTGTGATCACAGAGACTCTAGAAAGGAAAGGGGGTAAAGCAAGAGAGTGAAAGAAGGGAGAAGTGATAATGGAACAGATGTTAGACCGATACTATCCCACTGGTTTTGAAGATAGAAGAGGGTCATGAACCAAGCAAGGAATGCAGGCAGCCTCTAGAAGCTGGAAAATGCAAGAAAATCAATTCCCTCCAAGAGCCATTAGAAGGGAAGACAGCCCTGCTGACATCTTGATTTTATCTCAGTGAGACCCAATTCAGACGTCTGATCTCCAGAGCTACACAGTAATGAATTTGTATTGTTTTAAGCCCCTAAGTTTATGGTAATTTGTTATAGCAGCAATAGCAAACTAATATAAAAACACAGGCGGTCTGGCTCAGAGACCATGCTCTTAACCATTGCAACATTACCAGGAAAAACATTGTTAGTTACTTTCTCAGAAATATTGTTATAATTTATTCTCAACAGCTATGATAATACATCAGCCGACCTAGTAGAGGTATTATCATTGCTGGTTAGAGTAAAAAGCGGCCAGGAGAAAGGCTCTCAGCTGGCCACTTTGGCTTCAATTACTAAGATTAACTTGTCCTGGAACGATAAGCAGAAAGCTTGAGAGCCAACCTGACTCAAAAATCATAGCACTAGGCACTGGTCCTCAGCTCTGCTGGTTTTCAACCTTCCCAAGTCACCCAAGAAGGTAAGGTTTCAAGACTTGATTTTTCTGACCAAGGAGACTTACTCTAGGCTAGCTGAGATTTCCTGGAGAGCTCAGAGAGTGGGAAAAGGGACAAGGGACTGGGGGTTGATACTGGATCATAAACATTCAGCCACTCCAACCTTTGGGCATCTGATCTAAGTAACAGGGACCCATTACCTAGAGACAGGGCCAGTGACTGAGGTAAGTGACAGCTGGAACAGAGAAAATAGCCTAGCAGATGTGGATCTGCCCCTCAGCTCTGTGCCCTTGGCAGGTCACTTAACCTCTATGCACCTCAGTTTTCTTCTCTGTAAAACTGGGATATTTCCCTTTACATATGGGAGTGCTGTAGAGGATCCTATCAGAGAAGTTCTCTGTTCTTAACAAAGACTATGATTATTATAATTGAATGAAATACTAGTGCTTTCCAATGTCATTATTAATGAGAAATGCTAAGCAGTTATGAAAAGAACTAGTAACTCTACAACAGAGGGCAATCAGGGAATATCCATCAAAATTACAAATGTAGCCCTTGCTGGTGTGGCTCAGTGGACTGAGTGCTGGCCTGAGAACCAGAAGGTCACCGGTTTGATTCCCAGTCAGGGCACATGCCTGGGTTGCATGGGCCAGCTCCTCAGTTGGGGGTGTGTGATAGGCAACTGATTATCTCTCCTGCATCAATGTTTCTCTCCGTCTCTTTCTCCCTCCCTTCCCTTCTCTCTAAAAAAATAAATAAATAAAATATTTTTTTTAAAATCCCTTAAAAAAATTTAAAGAGAAATTTATTTATCCTTTGACCCAGCAATCCCCCTTCTAGGTACCTATTCTGCAGCTCTATCTCCACATGTAGGAAATGAATCTGTACAATCCAACACAGACCATAATAGTAAAGAAGAGAAACAACCTGGTGGTGAACACACAATATAGTGTACAGATGATGTGTTACTGAATTGCGCACCTGAAACATGCATTATTTTGTTAACCAGTATCACCCCCAATGACTTTTTAAAAAAGGAAAGAAGAAGCCTAAGTGTCCATCACTAGGCAATGAGTTACATCAATTATGATACACCCATACAATGGAATACTATGAAGCTGTAAAAAATTAAGGAAGCTCTTTATATGGAAAAATCTCCAGGGCAAAATGAGAACAATAGGAGTATTAGGAGGATTAAATGAGATAATATATATAAATGGTCAGAACAGTGAATCGCATATGAGTGTTCAATATTTGTATTACGATGTGTATTTTAAGTAAAAAAAAAATCAAAGTGCACACATGTATGTATAGGATGCTGCCTTTTGTGTTAAGAGTAGAGAAAAATAAGAATATATTCATATTTATTTTTAAATACAGAAACCTTTGGAGGACACATAAATTAATAAAAGTAATTATGGATGGGGCAGGGTAGATATGGAAGGAGATACTTCACTGGATGTCTTTTAGATTCCTTTCATGTTTAAACACTGTGAACATATTATGTATTTTTTCGAAATAAATTGGGCAACTTTACAGGATATAGAAGTAAAGGAAGGAGAACTAGAGCCAGTTGTCATTTTCCCTGCTTTGAACCTGTATGAAAAGGGACTGAGTCTGAAGTTGGCCTTCCTTCCCTAGAAAAAGTACTCCAAGCCTGGGAAGGGTATACCTCAGGTGGCCTGGCTCGGGGGAGAAGACTTTCTGGGTTGACCAGAGCCTCTGCCCGGTTCTACTTCTAGGACCCCTCTGCCCTGAAAGGGACCTCCCTAGAGAAAGGGGTCACCACTCCACCTCTGGATGGAAGTGGACAACTGGCATGAGGAGTCTTGTGAGTTGGCTGACCTGAATCAAATACCCTAGGTCCAAAAGCCCACAGCCTTCTGATATGACTGAGGTGTAGATCCTGTACTGGAATGACCCCTTAAGAGGCTGTCCTAGGACTAGAAACGACTTCTTTGGCCTAGGATTTCTTTGCTGTCATTCGTGGGACACTCACTGAGCACCTACTGTGTTCTCAGCATTTTTGGGGAGCCAGAGGTGAGGTGGAAAGCACACACAAGGAGCTCCTTCACAAGAACCCTACTTAACCAGACAGCAGAATAGCTCTGGAAAATAAAATGACAGTTATTTGCTCCTGGAATACTCAAAAGCATGACCTATAACACCGCAGAATTAATAAGCTGCTTAGCAAAGTGGCTGAATTATCCGATAATTAGGAGGTGAAAATAACTTAATTCTATCCCAGCAAAGCAAATGAAAAGAAATATGGAGAACGATCTCCATGCTCCCATTCACAATTGCAATTTTTAAAGTGGAAAAAAACAAAATAAACGAACAAAAAAAAACCCTAGACATAATCCTAATAAGAAATATGAAGGACTTATATGGAGAAAAGGACCGAAACACCCACTTTTGAGAAAGTCTAAAAAACAGAAAAGTATATTGAGGCCAGAGACTAAACATTTTAATGTTAATTTTCCTCAAGTTCATATAAAAGTTTAAAGCAATTAGTCAAATTACAAATGGGATTTTGAAACTTAACCAACTAATTCTAAATTTCACATCACAAAACAAACAGATCAAACAGGTAAGACATTTCTGAAAAATCAGTGTAAGGAAGGGGACACGTTATAGAATTCCCATTATTGAAAGAGTATGGTACTCCTGAGACTCAAGAGAAAAATCACCAGAACAGACCATAGTCCTGAAATAGGCCCTGGCATCTAGAAGAATGTATATTTTATATAATAAAGAAAGCATCCCAAATTAACGTACATTAAAGGGGTTTTCAACAATTGGAATCAGGAAAAATGGCAGAGGGGGACAGGAATCAAGTTAGAGCTTTGCTTCATATACCCTCCAAGATACATTTCTGATGGCTCAGAGTTAAATGTGAAAATACCCCCACAGAGATACTATAGTTGACGATCTACTCTCATAATGGTAAAGACCTCATAACCACAAAAGAAATGGAAGAAATCACATAATCAACCGATGCAACTACCTAAAAATGCAAAACTGTGTTTTTTGGGAAGACAGTCATGACAAGTTATGGGACCTAAGTGTTGTTCATTTTGTTTTAGATGATTTATGAGATAGGAGGAAGGA